CCATATATATATCCATATATATATATATATATATATATCATGCAAACTATGTGTTAATTAACTGTTTATGCTAGCAGTAAGGCTTCTGGTCAGCAGCAGACTATTAGTAGTTAAGTTTTGGGGGAGCCAAAAGTTAATACTTGTATTTTTGACTGCACAGGGGTCGACATCTCTAACACTGTGTTGTTCAGGGGTCAACTGTATTTTTTTGGACCTGGACCAAACTTGACTTGTGGCTACATTTCAGTTCTTCTCTCCTATTTGTAGAGGTCCTAATAGAGTCGTCTCATAAGTGCTCTCTAATCATTGAGGAAGATTTTAAAAATTCAACATATAAAAATAATAATTACTATAGGCTTTTCCTTACCATTGAATTTGCAAATTAGTCATTTAAAAGTGAATGATAGAAATAATTTTAAAGATTAATAAGATAATTGAGAACTGATATGGTATGCAAAGACAAAACAGAATTCCTTCTTACGTCATTTGAGCTGTTAAAATTAACAAAACAAAACAAAACCCAAAAAACTTCTTACCTGAGGTGTCAATGCATTCAATCAGATTTCCATTACTAGGTAGTACCGGTGGTACGCAGACAGTGGATCCACTCTAAAAGACAAGAAACATTTCCCCATTTTAATGGCTCTTTTGCTTCTATCATTATACTTCGGGTTTGTTCTCAAATTACCTCAGGTTCTAAAAGAACACTATTTATGAAACTTCTGAAATCCATTTAAAACCTGAACCTCATTTCGAAAGCCTTTCCTGGTTACTTCCATCTGATTTCGATGTACCTTTGATTTCTCTTCATTTTCCACATTGGCTGTCCCAGAACAAAGAACAGCACAGACCACAAGTGATGGCCAACGTCTTGGCTCCAGTGCATGAGGGTGAGGGTCGGTGACTGCCAAAGGCCATTTGTTACAAGTTAGCACTTACTATGGGAGGCGGTTGTGGTCCTTCTACTGCCCATGAGTGAATTGCTCCATCTGAACATTCGGGGACAGGCTCAAAGCCAGCGCCCCCACGAGGGGCGCCGCCGCAGTCACAACAGATCAACAAAAACGGGACCACTGACGGGGAAAGGATAGGAATATTGGAATTAGCCGCAGAGCCACATTAAAATAAAACAACTTGCTTTTTATGAATAAATTTGAACCTCTAATATAATGGCACTTGATTTTAAAATTACTGTGAAAGCTTCAGAAAACAAACTGATTGATGGTCAGATACCAAAATCAGTGCGAGCTTCAGTATTCTAGGCTGTGATGAACTTTTTAATTTGTTATCTAGTATTCAAATTATAGATATTGTTACACCATTAAAACAGATGAGTCTTTTTGCTGTCATTACTCAGGAAAATATTAAAGGAGACAAAAAAGAGAGCTGCAGAGGACAGACAATGTGTTTGAGTCTTTGTGTTCCCTCCTCCACGCCTTTATTTTCTTCCTTTCACACATGCGTGCTTTTTTTATTTCAGCAGTAAAATCTTAACCCATGCTTCAAGTAATTATTCCCTAAAGACTTCCTCCACATGGAATTTTTTCTTGAGTTTATTCACACACAAATAGAGAATATTATGCTACCTAACAAAGTCTTTCTGGTAATCATTTGGGTTTTCTTATTCATTTAAGTAAGTTTCTAGCACGGAGTTTTTTATATAATATAATCTTGATAAATGATTTGGAATGAACGGATGGATGAAGTAAAGGCTATGTAAGTCGAAAATATGACAAAGGGTGGAAAGACACAATAAGCAAGGTAGAGAGGAGGGAACATAGTAAGGATAGTAATAAGGGGAGGGATAGTAAGAGAGGGGAAAAAGAAAGAAAGGAGGGAAAGAATCCTGTATATTTCGCTTTCTTGAAAATTTGCTGGGTTTAGAGATAGCTTTGTATCTAGGGGTATTTGACCCCAAAGCCCATGCACAATTTTTAAATCTGTTACCAACTACACTACACAAAGGTAATCAACAATATAAAAAACAAGCTCAAAGTGAAAGTCATCTATTACTTGCAGTAGAGATAAACAATGCCTGAGTAAGTTACTTTTATAAAGTACCTAATTTTAGGGGTGCCTGGGTGGCTCAGTTGGTAAAGCGTCCGATTTCGGCTTAGGTCATGATCTCACAATTCATGAGTTCGAACCCCGTTGGGCTCTATGGGGACAGTTCAGAGCCTGGAGCCTGCTTTGGATTCTGTGTCTCCCTCGTCTCTCTGCCCCTCCCCTGCTCATACTCTGTCTCTGTCTCTCTGTCTCTCAATAAATAAATAAAGAAGCATTATAAAATACTTAAAGTTTTAAAATGTTGGTTAATAATTACTATGGCTAAAAAAGTGAAATTAGAGAATTAGCTCTTCTCATAAATTTTATGTTACATTCTGCAAGTTTGCTTTTTCCGTGTAGCCTTTTCTGATTGTTCGGATCTTTTCTGATTGTCTTCTTCACTCAAATAGCAGTCTGAACCTGCCTGTTATGGCACTTTCCCATTGCACTGAGATTGAATGCAAGGAACTTTTTGTCCTCCATTGCACTTTGACTTTCTTATCTTATTAACCCAACAGCAAACAGGCATTTCTTGATACGTGCACAAAATAAGAATTTGGAAAGTACCTTTCATCAAAGGATCAGAAAGCTTATCTCCTCCCCATAATTTGAGGGAGGGGGATGCCTATGAATAAGATTGTTAAAAGTACTTACATCCTAGGACCAAGAATCCCATGATGAGTAGTCCAATGCCAGCAGGACCAAAATGGACATTATCTAAGGGATTTCTCTGGTAACCACCACCTGTTTGGTCATAGGTGTTGCTGTCTGTATTGGTACCACCGCCGTAATCAGTGGAAGTTTTGTCGGCTGTGTTAGTACTGGTGTCACCTCCGGTGTCACCTCCGGTGTCACCTCCAGTGGCACCTCCAGTGGCACTTCCACCGCCGTCAATTCCACCGTCTTCAGTAGTGGTTCCCTGATTACTTTTATCATCCTGTTTCCAGCCGGAACCGTCAAGGTTAATATTAATTGTTCCAGTACAAGTTCTTTGAAGAGTATCTGTAACAAGATTTAAAATGGAAGAAATATCTAATACACATACTGTAATAATTGTTGAACAACACAAAGCCATTTTTTGAATCAATAACTTATTTCAATGTTTTTCTTCTCATCAATTCAGTAACTTCCCAAATCGTCTCTTGTTTGTGACTGAGTTTTTAAATAAGACAAAGATGAATATTTAAAACAAATTTTTTTAAATGTTTACTTACTTTTGAGAGAGAGAAAGAGAGAAAGAGAGAGAGAGAGAGAGCTCGAGTAGGAGAGGGGCAGAGAGAGAGGGAGACACAGAATCTGAAGCAGGCTGCAGGCTCTGAGCTGTCAGCACAGACCCCCACATGGGGCAGGAATTCATGAGCTGTGAGATCACGACCTAAGCCAAAGTCGGACACTTAACTGACTGAGCCACCCAGGACAACCCGAGACCAAGGTGAATATTAGTGCTCTCCTGAAAAACTGTCCCATACGTTGAGAAGCATAAACAATAAATGCCATGTTATGTATTTGCCAGTGGTGTGTGATAAGCCACAGTGGAGTCATTTTTAGACAATGTTTTACACACTTCTCGATATTTTAGACCTAGATTTTATTTGTTGTTTTACGGTCTTTCATTTTTTTTTTTTAAGTTTTTATTTACGTATTCTCTACACGCCATGTGGGACTTGAACCCCTGAACATGAGATCATGACCTGAGCTGAAGTCAGATGCTTAACCGACTAAGTCACCTGGGCACTGTTGTATTATCTTTTAACCTTAATTATAATGCCTAAAATTTGTTACTTATTTATGTTATATTGACAGATCATATGGCTCATTCCATTTTATATTTTTTTAATTTGCATTGTGAGAATTCTTCCATACGTCAATAAACTTTTCATTATATAGTTTTTTTATGGCTACATAATTTCACATCAAGTGGACCATAGTTTACCTACACATATTACCTGTTAATTATTATAGATAATGCTATAATTAACATCTCTGTACATTCAGACTTTTATAGTTAGGACTTCTCCTAAGATTATTAAAATTGGGTAAACACATAGGAATGATTTTGTTTGAAGTCATTGTTTTTATCTCTATGATAGAAATGTGAGCTCTGTGTCAGACTTTGTTCATTGATATAACCCTAGAACCTGGCACAATGGCTGGCATTTCATCAGGATTCAATATATAGTTTTTGAATAAATGAAGAAACATCACAGAGACAAGTTTAAATTCAGTCTATCCAATATCAAAGCCCATGCCCTTTCAGCTCAGCTGTGCTGATTCTGCTATTGCTGTTGTTTTTGTTGTTATTTTTATCATTATCATTGCATACGCTACATATAAGTTTGCATTTTTTGAAGACAAAAGGAATGCTCTCTATTTGCCCTAAGTCTAATAATTTCATAAGCAGAAGTTCCAGTTTCTTCATGTATCTAATTAAGCTTGATGTTGGCTGTCTGCAAAAGGAGTAAAGTAGCAATTGCTTAAGATAATTTCAGCACTGAATCAAAACAAGTTTTATCTATAGATTAAATCAGCATTTCTATTTGTAATGTATATTTTTAAAACCACATTTATTTTTGGTGTGCCTGAGTGGCTCAGTCAGTTAAGAATCTGACCCTTGGGGCAGGGGGTGGGGGTGTGTGCCTGGGTGGCTCAGTCGGTTGAGCGTCTGACTTTGGCTCAGGTCATGATCTCGCAGTCCTAGAGTTCTAGTCTCGCAACAGGCTCTGTGCTGACAGCTCAGAGCCTGGAGCTTGCTTCGGATTCTGTGTCTCCCTCTCTCTCTCTGCCCCTCCCCCGCTTGTGCGCTCCCTCTCTCTCTCTCTCTCTCTCTCTCAAAAATAAATAAACATTAAAAAAGTTAAAAAAAAAAAAAAAGAATCCAACTCTTGGTCTTGGCTCAGGTCATGATATCAAAGTTCGTGGGTTCCAGACCCATGTGGAGTTCTGCACTCACAGCACAGAGCCTGCTTGGAATTCTCTTTCTCTCTCTTTCCCTCTGCCCCTCCCCTGCTCCTGCTCTCTCTCTGTCTCTCTCTCTCTCAAAATAAATAAATAAAGAAATACTTTTCTTAAAACTATATTTATTTTGACTAATTATGATAAAAAACCAGTATAATTTGGTAAATTTCTGAATTGTTGAAACACTTCAAACTTATGGTTTCTTTTCAAAGTTTATTTATTTTAAGAGAGAGTGCATGCAACAGAGTGTACACAAACTCACAAGCAGGGGAGGGGCAGACAAAGGGGGAGAGAGAGAATCCCAAGCAGGCCCCAGGCTGTCATTGCTCAATCTCACAAACTATGAGATCATGACCTGAGCTGAGATCAAGAGGCAGACAGATGCTTAACCAACTGGGCCACCTTGTTGAATGACTTTAAAGACATGCTATTTCATTTGTTTTTAATCTGTAAAGCAAGTGTAAATTGTCAACCCCTGTCTAGGACAATCAAAAGAGACAAGAGAGAGAGAAAAGGGGAGAAATAGAAAGTCAAGAAGAGGAACTGAATTAGCAAATATTGCTTAGTGGAATTAGTCTCGGACTTCTCTCCTCTTGTGGCCAACCTAATTTTAATTCTGTTGGTTTGGCAAAGTAATATAAGCATGCTACTTCCAAATTGTTCACATGAAGTTGTATATCACCTTTCCAAAAAAATTATGTAAAGTCATGTCAACTTTTCTTTTGGACTAATTATTTGAAAGTAATTTAAGAATACAAGTTAAAATTTTCATTTGAAATGAATAAGAACTAATATCTATTGAATGTCAGCACTTTTCTAAGTGCTTTACATGTTAATAATTCTTTTAATATCTCTAGATCCATAATGTTAGTGTCCCATTTTACAGAAGAAAAGACTGAGGAATAAATGGGTTAAGTAACTTCTTTAAAATCTTATTGCTACTAAGGGATGGTGAAAGATACCAATCCAGTCTCACTCCAGAGCTCATGGGCTTAGCCACTGAGTTACACTGTTTCTCATATTATTAAAAATTTGAATCTATAATAGCCAGTATGATTTTTCTGTTGGGAAAGGATTATTTCAAAATATAACAATTAAAATTTTAATATTCGAGTGTATATATAATTTCCTCTAGAAGGGAAAAAAAGTTAAGTTGATTTCTTACCATCTATAGATAGAATTGTTCCTTGGTATTTCCCCCCAAGCATTTTATATTGTTCCATGGTAACTGCATTTCTCAAAGTAATTATGCCTGTTCTTGAGTCAATATCAAGTAGGTTAGCAGGATTATTTCCCATTACATATCTGTATTTGAAGAAAACAGTACAAATTAATGTTAGCTATCTAAAAGAGAAACAGAGAGACAGAGATTTTGATTATAAAACACATATTTCAAGTCAGTAGTTATAACCCCTGGATATTATTTTCGATTATTAGAGACTTTATTTTTTATCAGGGAAGTGCCACCACATTCAGAAATAGAAAAGGTTTGGGGTGCCTGGGTGGCTCAGCTAGTTGAGCATCAAACTCTTGATTTTGGCTCGGGTCATGAACCCAGGGTGGTGTGGGATCAAGCCCCGAGTCAGGCTCCTTGCTGAGTGTGGAGCCTGTTTAAGATTCTCTCTCTCTCTCTCTCTCTCTCTCTCTCTCTCTCTTTTTCTTCCCCCCTGCTCTTCTCCCCCATTCTCTCTCTCTCTAAAAATTTTTTTTAAAAAATAAATAGGAAAGGTTTAAATTTAAGAAAAATAAATTGCTGGCAGCCATTTCTAATGGAATATCTCTTATGCCCACTTGGATGTCAGAATCATCTTTGATGCTTGAAGTCTCATTTTCATTTGGTTTTGGTAGCATCAGAACTATCCTGGAAGACCCAGATCCTGGAACTCCCTGGCTGCTTCTAATTCTAAACTGTTCTCTTCCCTAAGAAGTTAAGTTACTTCTCCATCAGTTTGTGGTTTCATTCTCTCCCAATTTTTACTCTCCCTTCTCATATTCACAATGACTTTATAGGGCTTCTGTTGAATTTCCTTCTCATTTACATATTTGTTAAACATTGCTTAGATAACTCTGTCTCAAGCACTGTGAAACTCAAAGACTAGATGGGAGGGGAAAGGGAGGGATGGTCCGCCCTCAATGAACTCACATCTGTGGGGTACAAAGAGAGTGTATCATTATTC